TGTCAAAGATGAGTGGCGCTTGTGGCAACCATCCTGAAAGCAGCTGACTAAACATCGCGAGACTAAGTTGCAGAACACCATCGAGCGCGAGCTACGTATCGTAAGAGTGTTCTACATTTTTTGTCTTTAGTCGCTTCTGGCAGTCTTGTTGTAGGCCATGTGCCACTTGGCGAGTTGTTCCTATGTCTTCGAAGCTTGGAAGCCTTCGGCTCGCATTGTTTGCCTTGAAACCGAGGCTGAGATTAAGTCGGCTAGGTCAAGTCGAAAGTATAGTGGTTTACGTCAGGTCGGGCACAGGGACCGTCGTTCCTCTCACTCGCTCGCTACCTCTGTCTCGCTTAGGTCCTAGATTCTCTTAGACACTTTCTCTACATACCCTAAAAGCCACAAGCCCACCCTACAACCCAAAGCCGCTAACCCACACACGCAACCAGGTGTCGGACAGGTCTGCGCTGGAGTCGTCCTGGCGACTACTTTAGGGCCTTTGATTGTAGCAATTAGCGTAAGGTGTAGGGGCACATTACATTTTCCGACCTCTATGGGAGGGCAGCTTCGTGTTGCGCTCCCTATGTAACAATGAACCTCAGCGCTGGGCGTTGTGGTTTCGAGATTGGGGGTGCCTTTTGGTGTCTCGCATGCCTGCCTGGGGGTTCATGTTTTTTTTGTTGACGTTAAATCTGTAACCCCGAACTCCAGCCAACCCGTAGGTTGAACCAGCATGTGTGCCGCTTGCTATCTATCTTCTCCCACTAGGGCGGGCAGAACTAAAGTGACTCCGCAGGCAGTCTTGCACATATGCTCCGTGCTAGTCTTGCCCAGGAAATCTGAGCTGCATCCTTTTGAAAGTTAGGGTTCAGGGCTTCAGGGCTTTAGAGCTGTAGGGCTTCAGGATTCTCGGACCGTTTAAGACCCAAACCCTAAACCCTTTCGACCACGATGCCTTGGTAGCAGAGTCTTCTCCAGCCGCTTGAGATGCCGTTTCTCCTCCATGTGAGCGGTTTGAGCGTGTAAGGGTGTGAGGCTCCGTCATCAACTTAACCCCAACTTGGGGTGACTAGTCTGAACGTGACCTGTGCTTCTCAACTCTACTCCGCCTTCTGCAGCTGTTGCTTTCGTGTACCCCTTGAACCGTGCTGAACTCGACGATGGGGCATGCGCGGGACAGGCTGAACGCCGGGTGGGCCTCTAGCGTAGGGGCTGCTCTAGGTTGGGGCATCTTCGTCCGATCCATACTAGGATAGAACAGGATCCTGAATGGGGTGCTTATGCAATAGAAGTAGCTGGGCATAGGCTGCTCTGTCAAGGGATGACTCTGCGGCTTGCGAACCGCATCACCCCATCGTCATGGCGTCTCAAACGTAAATGTCGTTTGCCAGGTCTTGAACCCGAAATTTTAAGTCCAAATCTGAAGCTCCTTGTGGTGGAGCTCGGGCCCCTGGGGCAAACCTTCCTAAAGAAATCGTGCCACGGAAGGAGGCGGGATGAAGCTGACCGAGCTAACAGTAAAAACGTATGCCATCCAGGTCACCATGCCCAAGCCTTTAAACTGGCCAAAGACAAATTAAGCCCTCTATCCAGGACATGAGCACCTCTGCAACAGCACCTATGTCGCCCTGGACGCCTGATCGCTGCTTTTTCTGCTCGCAGAGCTCATGCCACGCACACTTCGGATGGGTTTCATCTGGCATGGGACACACACACATTCAATCGATTGGCCCCATCTTAAGTATCTTATGAAGCCGCTAAGCTCTTTACTCTAAACATGTTAAACCATCTTGAAACCTCATCAATCCCAAACCTGACCTTCACTGCTTTCTTCGAATTTTTCATTGCAGAATCGAAGACCCTGAGCCCAGGTATCCATTTCACCTGCCGGTCATGGCGACTCCTGAACCGTAGTACTGAACTTCCTACCAAGAGCCAGTCCTAAACCCCAAAAGCCCTACCTTAACCACCGAAAACCCTGCATTGTTCAGGAACCCTTAAGGAAAGTAGGCTTTTCGAGGAATTATAGGTAAAGCGTAGCTTCCTACGAAGAGCCAGTGAGGTGGCCCTCAAACAGCTGCCAGGCACCGTTGGCTACGTACTTGCCGTGGCAAGGCAACAGTCCTGCACAGCAATGTGTCTGGATTCTGTTGAGCGGATCCTTCAAAGGGTTCTGTAATAAGGGGGCTTTAAGACGTCATGGGGTTCCGCTACATATCATACTTTAATATACCACAAGGCAGTCTTCTGTTTATTGAGGCCCCTCTCTCAGGCAAATCTACTGCATCTGCTCGAGTCAACTTGCAGGGGAATTCAAGGCTTCGTGACCGGTTCCTTAGCAAAGGTCCAGGTTTGCCACCCCGAGCTGTACCTGAAATGCGTGAACGACATGGAGGACATGGAGATCACAAAAAAGAAAGAGGGTCAGGCTGGAGCGTTCTCAAACTATGATGATGACTTAAGCTGCAAAACTAGGCAGAGGTTCCCATGTTACTGGGTGGTCGCAGCTCTCTGTGCGATGCACGACCTGCAACGCTTTTAAAAGCAAGCACAAGGGATTTAGGATTTCAGGGGTTAGTCATGTCCTAAACCCTAAACCCCTTAGCCCCTCTCTCACCCCTAAACCCGAAGCATGGAAAGCGGTCCTGTATGCTTGAAGCAGAAGACCCTACACACTGCAGCTCCGAAGTACACAGAAGCCTTGAAGCCCATCCCGAAACTCTCAGCGCTGCGCCACAGGTCTTAAACCCTAGAACCTTTATAGTACGCCTTGTAGGGACCCTTAAACAACATAATTAATAACAACCCTTGAAACGCTAAACCCAAAAACCTAACCGACCTAACCCCTAAACTCAAGCCCCAAGCCCAGTCGTGTTTCTCCGGCCTTTTGGCTTCCAGGCCGCCACCGCGTCCAAGACGGCCTTCAGAGAGCCCGGGCTCTTTACCATGAAGCCTTGGCTGAAGATTCAGGGGTTGGGATTAGAGCTCGGGGTTGCAGGGCTTTTTTGATACTCAGGGTTTGCAGGGTTTTTTGACACTCACAGTCGGACCAACCTGGTTTAGGGTTCAGGGTTTGGGTACACCCTCAATGGAGGGAGCATTCCCCCCCCCCCCCCCCGCGCCCGAACCAAGCCCGCATCCAGAGGGAGGAATTGCTTTGCTCTAGCCGGAGAAGCTGAAACTGTCTCAAGAACCTCCCGCCCCCAGGTTCCTCGACGCGCCACGCTTGTAGAAGGGCAGGTAGACCTGGGTGTCTTGCACAGGTATGGACTTTAGGACCCTGATAGCATCTTGGCTCTGACTGACTAGTAATGAATCGGATGCTTCATCCTTCTACTGTTGCAAAAAGGATACGCTAAGTTCGGGAAACCAAGCCCACAAAGGCCGCTACAAAGCTCAATAGCTCCCTGCGACCCCAAAGTTCCCCATAGAAGACTCGCTTTTCTTCGAAACTCCCTCTTCAATGAAACCAAAACTATACAACCTCAATACATCTAAAAACCACACAAGACCCTAAACCCTAAAGGACCTAAACCCCGTAGTACCCTTAAAGCCTTAGATCAATCAATCCCTGGCCCACCTTGTCCATCAAGAACTTCCAGAGGGCGGAGCCGGAGGGTAAATCAGACCTTTAGTCGGAGTTACAGACAGGGTTTAGGGTTTAGGGGCTCCGGGTTTAAGGGCTTGGGATTTTAATTTGGGAAGTAAGAAACCCCTAAGCCCTAAATTAGGGCTTAGGGGTTTCTTACTTCCCAAATACCCATGGGTTGAACAGGTTCAACCTTTCAGAATAAGACTACCTCAAAGGAGCTCCAGAAGTTGACAAGTCGGGTTTTGGACCGATAAGGTTTAGGGAAGGATCAGGGGTCAAATTAAGTAGGGTTAGAAGTAGGGTAACGATACTTATGCCGTTCCTTCCAGGATCATGGGGTCTCAGTAAGTAGAGTTAGAAGTATGCTAACTGTATTTATGTTGCTGCTAAGGGTTGTGACCGTGTGTTTTGCGACTCCTCCCGTAGCAATGAACATGCTTGTCGGTCTTGCTGTCGCAGACTTGTCGCGTTTCTTCATTCGGTTGGCATATACGCTACATACTGCCGAACCAACACGAAGATAGTGCGGCGTTGCCACGAGGCTGGGGACTTTGCAACTTCACATGAGCTGCTACAGCTTGACGGATAAGCTCTCCGAGCCCCCCCCCCGCCCCCAACAAAAAAACAAAACGCTTCTGATGACTCGTGAGGCAAGGGGCGGGTAGTTCCAGAAGATGTCCGTGCCTCGGGCTGCCCAAGGAAGCTCAACCCAGTGAGCCCGAAGCTGCTTATAATGGACTAAATATAAACCCTATAATATGCTGTAGTATGCTATAGTATGCTGTAATAGCCTCTTAAAAGCTATGACACATATACTATAACATGCGATAATATTTAGGACCCTTCCAGCCGCTACCTGCCAGCTATAACATATGACAGTAACCGGTCATATCAAATATCCGACGAAACCATCTAACACACTATCATTTTCTATGACATATTCTAAAGCCCCTATATTATCCTATTACATTCCGCGCCCAAGCATGCTAAAAGGGCAATGTAGTATATGACAGCACACTCTAGGACATTATAGTAGGTGATAGAATGAGTAATCAATGAGTTTTGATAGTATATAAAATGTTGTTGTGTTGTACGCGGTAGTATAATATGCTATGTTTTAAATTGTCTTCAACATCGGACGTTGTAGCAGGAACCTAGCTTCGGGCCCGGGCCGGGTCTAGGCTTCGTTCAGGGATGCTGTCACAACCCAGACTTGCCAGATGAGGTCTCGAGGTCGTCATGGTAAGGACGAGCGTGACAATTCCAACTTCTTTCCAGACAAGACTAGGGGGCGGGATCAAGATGGAATCTAAGAGCTCTAGCAGCACGTCTGCTTGCGCCCAAGAAACAGAGGATGAGAATTGAACAACTTTTGCAGAGACGTCTTACTCGCCAATACAGTGGACGGCATCAGTCAGGACTTCTATACCTCGTTGCGACAACAAAGGCGGATTGGTCGACAAAGTGAAACATCACGACAAAGGTCATCAGAACAGGTCGATGTCGTAGCGGGTTCACGTACTTGTTGCAAGCAGCTGAAGTGGGCTAGGGCTTGCGGTTCATGTGAGTGCTCAGCCGGGCTGCACATCAGCGTCTCACTGGCAACGTGATAGAAAAGCACTTCGTTGAAGAAGGGAGTGCCCAACAGCGGCGTTCCTCACATTTCTAGCCGCTCGGGGGGATTATAGTCACTGTAGGGAGGGTTGAGGCTGAGGGTTCCTCACATTTCTGGTCGTTCGGTCAGGGGCATTATAGAGATCTCCTGGAGTTGAAAGCTCCATGTAGGGTTCTGTTTTGCCGCCCGCCGAGCATGGACGCTGCCCGCAATTGCCATGCAGGGTTTATGGGGCGGGTTTCGAATAGTGGGATTGAGGCAGCAATGTAGCGTGGGACGACAAACTGTGCTGACACAAGACCTAAGAAAAGATCGAATACATGAAATGCCCAGAATTACTTGCCTTCAGCCGTACAGATGTCAAGACAATGTTCTTTAAATTTCCGCCAGTAAACATCACCATGCCAAGAGCAAAACAAAGCAGTAGCACACCCGACATCACGAACAATATGGGTGACAACAACAACAGCAACCAGAACATCAACCACAGCAGCCATCGTCGTGAGAATTGTAACACCTAGATTCGAAATCCTTTGATTAAGCCCGCAACCTGGTACCCTAGCCTCCCTAAGCCCTGAACCTTAAACCCTAAACTCCGTACCCAAAATCCTGGGTTTTGCTACATCTCCGACTCTTCGATCCAGGCATCTCTCACAGTCCGCAAAGCACAGGAGAAGAGCGCCGCCCCATTCAGCTGGAGCTGACCCGCTGCCTGGGTTTACGGTTTTTCGACTCTCACACTCGCACAAGGCCGGCAAGGCTCCGCATGGTAGGGTTTGGGGTTTGGAGTTTGGGCTCGTGGCCTGGGGTGGGTTTTTTGTGGATGGACGGTGTGGGGCTTAGAGCTCCAGCAGTAGCTCGGGTGCATATTATGATTTTAGCTATATTCAGAAATCCAAAGGAATCCTATTCTAGTTCAGTTATCCGGGCTCCTGTGTTATGGTGAACCTCATCAGCCCTAAACCCGAATGCCTCCTAAACCCTGCAACCCAAGCACCTAAAATCCTATAGACTCCTATACAATGATGAACCTCCGAAGTCCCAAACCCTAACCCCTAAGCCCCAAACCCCGCAAAAGTAAGCGACATAATGGCCCGAAGCCTATAAAGAGCCGTTATTGTACCCAAAACCCCATGCTTCCTCTGACCGCCTCAGAGCAACTGCTTGCGAGCCGAGCTTCTCGGCAGCTCGATGTCGAAAGGGATCTTTGGGAACTTGTCCTTCATGCCTGGCCACTTAACTGGGTTCTTGTCAGGGGATTGAATTTAAGTTAGCAGAATAAAGAATCCACATTATTTACTATAGACCCCCATTACGGTACTAAAATAAAACCGAGTTAATGGAATGGGGGACTTAGTAATGTAGGTTATTTGGCTCCCGCATGGCAGTAAGTGCCTTCATAATTAATACTGGCCGCTTAAGGGATGGGGGACTCAGTAAGCCAGGTTAGAAGTGCCTTAATATTCGGGTTCTAGGTGACCGTAGCTACAGCTATGACCCGCTTTACTAAGTCGGTTCATCCTCAAGATACCTGAGACCTGAGAGGTAGTAAAGCAGAGTCCACAGAGTAGGGTTTCGGGGTTCGGACTTTGGTCTGAGGCCTCTGGATCCCGGCAATTTCTCGATCATCCATGTTGAGAGCCTGAAAACTCGACCCTGTACCATGAAGGCTGTATGTAACTTTCGGACTTGGGACACTGGGCCACACAACGAGTTGGAATGTTGAACTACTACGTTCGCAAAAGCTTGAATACGGACTGACCAAGGCAGAGCAGCTGCAGAAGTGTCCGATGAGGTGATGGAGTCCACTGCCGAATGCCAAACGGAAAAAGGCTCCCCTGTGCATGCGTTCCACCATGTTCCGCACCTGGCGTTCCCCAGAGTGTGGCGTCTGGAAACGCTGCTTTCCACTGGGCAGCCCACTTAACCTTGCTGGGATAGTTGGCAACCCAGGATATTCTTGTTGTGTGCACACACGTACACGTGCCCTTCATCTATAGCTTGCTTTTGGCTTTCAGCTGTCTTGGGTACTAGAGCCAATAAGCTCCCCCAATTTCATTTTCAGGAAACCAGACATGAAGCCTAGGTAGTTTCAACCCCGCGCCTGAGCTTGCAAAGCCTCCTTCCCCCTTCGTGGCAATTTTTTTCACGCATCCTTGGAAAAGGCTTCGAGAGTCTGCCCTAAGCCTCATACCTCAAATCACCCTGAACCTTTAACCCAAAGGCTTCGACAGTCTCTGGCCAGTGTGCATGCTCAAAGTTCGGTGACACGATGTGCCGAACTGGACCAAGTTGTTCCAGCGCTTCTCTGAGCTCCTGAACCAAGAGATTTCAGGGTTTAGGGTTTAGTCTTATTCGGACTCTCGCAACTCGGGCACTGCAGGCGAGCGCTTGTCTCAAGTCGCGAGTGATTAGAGTTTAGGATTTCGTGTTGAGGTTTCAGTGTTAGGATATGATTCTTGGGGTTCAGGGTTGAGGGCCTTTCGCCAAGCACTATAACTGCTTTTCTCGTAACTTGTGACCTCGAGTTGATGGGCATACCGTAAGCCTATCTCCTGGTCCCTCTTGTTTGCAGTCGTCTGGCCCAGATCTGCTTGAACTACCAGGAAGTAAGTAGGTAACCCTAAAACAGTCCCTCAAGACAAGAATCGGATCCCAATTATTGCAAATAGTTGCATAAACCCTAAACCCTAAACCACTTTTTGCAGCAGGCTTCGTTCGCCCGGAACTCCCTAAACCCTAAACCTCTAAACCCTAAGCCGGATTTAGGGTTTAGGGCTTAGGGTTTCCCATATGTTTAAGCGTATCTCCCAGACGGCCTCATCAAGCTCCACCGGCGAGTGAACCCACCTTAGGCAGCGCCGAGCCCGAACCCGAAGATGACCTACACCCGTATTGCAGTATGTACTACAGAATGCAGTCTAGCATGTACACATACGTACATGCATACATACATACATACATACATACATACATACAGACAGCCAGCCAGCCAGCCAGCCAGCCAGACATACTTACGTTTATGTGTATGTAATTCAACACGTTCAACAGTTTAACATGAATGATCCAATATACTTGCACTTCCGAAGAAACTGATTCTTACTGGTACGCACAATATCACCAGCGAGGCTAACAACAAAGCAAGAGCAATATAGAGCGTGGCCTAAAGACTTAGTCATCAGAAATAGGAACATGGCCGACATGGTGAAACCCAGCACCGCCGCGCCAGAATCATCGCCACAATCATCATCGTCAAGGCCCGAAGCCAGCATTACCCGTAGTGCAAAAACCGCAAGTTAGGGTGGGCTCAAAGTAGGCCCAAGCTAAGCCAAACGCAAGCCCCCGTCCGGCAAGCGCACCACGGCCATCTTCCCACCTACCTCGCTGCAGGGCTTTGGGAACACTTCGGGTTCCCTGCACTCCTCCTGAACTGAAGACTGTAACTAGGTTCAGGGTTCAGGTTTTGGGGTTTAGATGGCTATTTAGAGGACTACACGGGCAAATTCGGACTAACGATCATGGCAGCCCCAGGAAATGTAATTGCATATGTGGACAGCACCATGAAGGATGTATCGCCCAGAGAAACAGAATCGCAAAGTCATCAGGCATGACAACTGCTGGCTAATTAAAGAGCTCCACGGACCTGTTTCGGGTTTCGGGTGGCTTCGCGCTTAGGGTAAAGACTCGAACCATAACCCACCAGAACCTTAGAGTTAAAGCCCAAACATGCCAACCCCCCACAAAACTGAGCGACGACCCCTTTTTTTTAATTGGCCTAAATGACTACAAACACAATTCTGGGATTCCTTGTTCTAGTTACAGCATAATACAACCGAACACCATACTCGAGTGATTAAGGCCGGATCCCAGGCGCATCGATGGAATTCCAGATAAACGGCCTTTCAGCCACCCAGAGGTCGGTGTTCAGCGCAGTCAGGACCTCGTGCATCTTGAAAGTATGAGGCCAGTTAGGTTTCAAAGAAGGGCTCTTTGAGATCAACCTGAGCTCGTCTTGCATTGTTATTACGATTATTGTCCCGACCGTCGACTGCTGTGACAAGATACCGAGCCAGAAGGATTGCTCCATGTCGAAGGGTAGGTCGCCTCAAACGAGTGGAAGTTTCAGCTTTCATCTTTTGTTCGGGGCTTGGACTCACACACTCGCGCAAGGCAGGCATGGCTTCGGTCCGTCTGAGCTTGCTGCCCTAACATCGAGGCTACAGCGAAGACGCGGTGAGTACAGACCACCACAGATAAAGCCATACAAACAGCGACTGGGCGTATACCAATTTGTAGAGCAAGATCAGCCGATGTGCTGTCGCAGCAGAGAGAGAGAGAGAGAGAGAGAGAGAGAGAGAGAGACGACTGGGGTCGGAAAGCACTTGAACCCAACATGGCCTGTAGAAGCTAAGGATCTGGTCGATACTATGTCGAGGCAGCATAACTAGGTTGGCCCCTCAAGCCTGAACAACCTTCGTATATGAGATCCTCTTAGGCCCCTTTAAGGGAAAATCTAAAATGTCTCAGAGGCCGAGCAAATATGTGAACAGTACCCCGCGTAACAGTTACAATTAATGTGTTTGTCAGAGAAGCAAGCTGGCTCCGCACAAAACCCCCTTCTGCTGTCTGCGCAATGCGGCGTTTACAAACAGTGGTGGGCTCGTGTAGCCGAAACGGAATCCATGCCCCTCGCAATTCAAAGCATCCGCATCCCTGGTAGAGTGCTTTAGGTATTCACTGTGTCCGTGTTTCTCGGCATTGTGTGCTTGCTCACGGTTTCCAATGGTTTACATGTCTTTATGCACAAGAGTGCACATGCATGAGCATATCTCTCTCTCTCTCTATATATATATAGGTGCATATATGAATTAGGTATGCAAACAAATGCTAAGAAACAGAAGAAGAAACTAATGATAAAAATCAGAAGAACAATGGCGATGATCATAACGTAATAAGACTATTTCGAACTATATAAACTAGTAAATAAACACATACAAGCAAATGCAAAAATGTAAACTTTGCAGTGGACGATGTCATTTCCATCACGACTCTGCTGTGAGGATATGATCTCTCTCGTCTGAAGTTTTGCCAGGACGCTGCCGCTATTGTGTCCGAGGTTGCCGCCGTTGAGGTCGCACCTGTCGCATCTTCTCTCTCGAACGTGCTGTGTTTCTCGCTTGCTGCGCATGTAAAGGGAACGAACCCGTTCAACGCTGCCCAAACGAAGTGCCCGGCAATTCGTTACAAACCATCCTCAGTACCAAATCTTGCAACCTCTGCAGCCGAGCAGGCCGAGACAACCAAACTAAAGCACCCTCAGTCCTGAACCCTGAATGCCATCAGCCCCCCAAGCCACGAAAGCTCTAATCATGGCCTTTCAGTGACTTCGAAGGAACCCTCCAGGGCCTTCCCCCTCTATCCCCAGACCCCCGCCAAAACGAATGCTGCGCAGCTTTGATCTGGAGATCGAAGCACTGCTCGCTAGGGCTTCGTCACATACCGCGGGCAAGCGGCCCCTGCCACGAATTATCGTGCAAGCTCTGCAGCTTGCACATGTACTCGAGCAGCACAGCCTCGACCAGCTTGGCTTCAGCTGCATGCAGCCCTTGCCTTTTCAACCAGTGAGCTAGACTTCGTAGGCCTCTGATCTTCCTCGCCCTTTCTAGTCAGGCACGCCAGCTCAAGGTTTGACTTGAGCTGCGTTCTCCCAACTAAGGTTTAAAGCCAGCTGCGCTGGCCTTGGCTTTTCAAAAGAGTCCAGCCAGCAGGTGTTGCAGTATGTGCTTGCATGCAGACCCAAGTTGAATGCACAGAGCCTCGTTGCTTGCGAAAAATTGCCTTAATGCCTGAGCTTCGAGCTAAAAGGCTGCGATGGCACTTCAGGACTCGCGGGTGTTTCTGCTTGATTTTCAGAACCAGCGAGGCTCTTCCAAGCGGCTGCCCGATGTAGCCCTCTGCATCGAAGAAGCCGGAGCAGTACTCCCAGTTGGCATGGACCGGCAATCGCCGAGTCGTGCTTCTTCAGTGCTCGCAAATCGGCCTTGAAGATTTCCCTTTGCCGTGACTTGGCATGGGGCCACTGACACGGGGCCGCCAGCCAGAGCTGCTTTTGCTTGGTGATCCCATGCGGCGCAAGCAGCTCAGCTGCCCTTCGGGCTGACTGGCCATATGCCTGCCACTGAAGCTTTCGTTTTCTCAAACCCACGCCATCGCACACGCGCATGATGCTTCTGCCGAAGGCCTCGCGCCAGAGCAGTAAAACTTCCGCCTGCTCTGGACAAGCATTCTTCTTCCGCTTTGTGCGCTGCTTCCGCTGCCTCTCTGGCCAACCGTTCTTCTTGGTCTGCTTTCTGTGCCGCTTCCTCTGCCTCTCTGGTCAAGCGTTCTTCTTCCGCTTTGCGCGCGCCACACAGCCTGGCTTCTGCTGGGCGATGAGAGCAGTTTCGCCTTTCAGCTCGGAAAGGTAGACTGTAGTAGATGGCCAGTCGAGAAGAAGCGCTACAATTCGGGCCAGCGACTTCGGCTCAGCTGGGCTCGAAGCTCCTTGTTCTTGATCCGAAGGTCCTTCAATCTGCCAGAGCAGCTTACAGCGATGCTGCAACATGCCTCATCTTCGGGACCGGCTGTGCAGCTTCAGCTCGCTGCTGGCGGCCCGGGCTGCCAGCACCAACAGAATTCTGCCCTGCCAAATCGCATTTCTTCTCGCCCACATTGCCTCCGGGAACGGAGCCTGGCAGCCTGGAGCTCTCATCACAGGGACGAGGCATAGTGGCAGTGAGCCAGAGCAGCTGCTGCGATTAGCAAGGCATCAGAAAGCGGTACTTTGCTCCCCCCCACGCCGCGACCCTCCAGCCTGCTGCAAACCTGACAGTCAGCCGTCATGGGCTTGTACTGAGGTCCTTGATTCTCAGAAGCCCTCCAACGCAAAGTTCCCGAATTTGAAGGGCCCACGGAAAGGTGCACAATATTGTATAGTAATAAAAAACCTCATTATGGTAATAATGTGTAACTATACTTTGAGGTTAGTGCTAAACACGACATACTGTAATCCAATACAGATCCTGGGCATCCCTATTGTACACTGCCCTACATGTGAGGGAGCCTGGCCGCTTGCGGCTGCGTAGCGCAACGGCCGAAGCCACCGTGCTCGCGAGCCCAAAGGATGAGGTGTTGCGTGACTCGAAGGATATGCACCTGAAGTGCTGACCACTGAAGCATATGCTGTTGGCATAGTTACGCTCGCCCTGACAAGTCCCTTCATGATTCTCTGACACCACAAAAACATTCGGGTGATGGTGAATAATGATGAGATACTGCAAGCACTCACGGCACTCACGGTCACCATTGCATCACGATCGTGATGCTGAGGGCGCGCGTCACGATCGGGACGGGCGGGCGCGAGTGAAACGCCGGATGGTAATGCTGTCGCTGTCAAGCGCCATCTGGTAAAGATGGGAGTGGTGCTTGCAGTTGGGGTGGCTGGGATGGCGGGCATGGTGGGGGAGAGGCTTGCGGCGGGGGTTGGGGTGGCTACCTCACGACATTTTCGGCACCGATCGCAAGCGGCAAGGAAAGGACATCCGGAAGTGGACGGCTGCCTTTGAACCTACAACACGAACTCAACTACACTTCCGACAGATTCATTGGTTAGCAATAACAACAGCAGCCAGGGTTTGGGGTTTACGCTATCGGGAAACACCAGGTTGAAACTAGTGACTGGAAAGAAAGCAACCGATTCAGCATGAAGCTCTTCATAGTTCCAAGCTAAGCTCGCCTGCAGTTGTTAAACTTCGAAGCACTGAGTTTGAGTTTAAGGCGTAGAGTTTACGGCTTCGTCGTAGACCAAAGCCAAGCCGTGTGCTGATGGCCGGATATACGCTGGGATCTCTCCAGCGCAAATGACACACACACACACACGCACCCACACACACACACACACACACGCAGAGACACACAGAGACACACAGAGACACACACACACAGAGACACACAGAGACACACAGAGACACACAGAGACACACAGAGACACACAGAGACACAAACACACACACACACACACGCACACATCGCAAGACGACAAAGCCGCCCACACACCCCCCCAAAGGGAGCCACGGGGATGCCGAAAACCATCCATCCGACCCCTGCGCGTCCCGGTATATGTTGAGGCGTGCCGGTTGAGGAAGACGGCTAAAGGCAAAACAAAAGTAGTATCCTGGAGGCACAGGTTCTATCTGTGGCTTTTACATAATTTCCGTAATTCCCAGAGCCTGCGCTGTCGCGGCAGTGGTCGCCAAGCCAGCGCCGGTGATCGCGGCGGCGTACCGTGGCCGGGGGCGCTCAAAGCCATCATGCAAGCAGCAGTGGTGCGCGGAGAGCCCAATAATAGCCCTTAAAGAATTTTCCTCAAAATATGGGTGCTTACATGGGGCTATTCTTATTTCAAGTATATTCCCTAATCTGGGTCAATCGAATCACCCTGAAAATGGTGAGGTTTCGGTGCGAAGGTGCAGGGCAAGCTCGAACCACAAGGCCGTTCAAGGTCCTCATGAACCCGTCAAGCATTTCTCATGTTCGCAAGATGCCTTGCCACAAGAAATCGGATCGGTGACATGAAATTGCATGGATGTCATGCGACCCGCCGCTGTCAGCAGACATGTTCTATTTTGTCTGGGTCTCCTAATCTCCCAAAGTCCCAACAAAAGCTGCTGGCACAAAACACCGAAGCAGGGCCGAAGCATCAACTCCTGCAATAACCATCCAAATTTGACGGTTCAAGCCCCTGTCCTCGCCACCGCCACCAGTAGCAGAAGCAGCGGAAACGATGGTGATGGTGGTGGTGGTGGCAGTGGTAGTAGTAGTGGTAGTAGTAGTCGTCGTCGTAGTAGTAGTAGTGGTAGTAGTAATCGTAGTAGTCGTAGCAGTAGTAGTAGTAGTAGTAGTAGAAGAAGAAGTACTAGTAGAAGTAGAAGTAGAAGTAGAAGAAGTAGTAGTAGTAGTAGTAGTAGTAGTCGTAGTAGTAGTAGTAGTAGCAGCAGTCGTAGTAGTAGTAGTCGTCGTCGTCGTCGCAGCATTCGCAGTAGCAGCAGCAGCAGTAGCACAAGCAGCGAGAGTAGCAGAGTAGCAGCAGTACTGGCGGTGGTGGTGCCAGAACTAATGGTCGTAGTAGTAATAGCAGTAGTAGTCGTCGTCGTAGTGGTGGAGGTAGTGGTTGTGGTAGCGGCAGTGGTAATGGCAGTGGTAGTGGCAGGTGGTAGTGGCAAGTGGTAGTGGCAAGTGGTAAACGGTAAGTAGTAAGTGGTAGTGGTAGTGGGCGTAGTAGCAGCAGTAGTAGCCGCATGATTGCAGAAGCAGAAGCGTCAGTATAGCACACAGCATATTCTATAATGCATGGCATCTATTGGTCCTATTAATTATCTAGCACGTACTGGTTGCTGTACAGATCTGTTGACCGGGTAAGTTGGCTGTGCTGCTCTTGTTTGTAACTCCGTCGCTGATGCTACTGTCGTTGAAGTTGTCGTTCTTGTTGTGACGGTTGTTGTCGATATCGAGCCTTTGCAAAATACAGCTGCAAACCCGAAACCATTGGTTGAATCTTATAAAACTTCGAAGCTTCGCAGCTCGGTCCTGAGCTGGGCGAGGTTGCAGGTGCCACTGGAACTCCCAAGCAGAAGGACCACACCTTCGGTTCCGAACTTCGAGAAGAATTGGAGCCGCTATTGGCGGGATTGAGGGGCCAGGCCTCCTTCACATCGCACTCTGCTCGTATGAAAACCCAAGAACGGAAGCATTGCGGTATGGATTTGGGTGCCAACCGTAATGTGTCTATGTTGCTTTGCATGGGGTCCGACAAATGACTCATTTGTCGTTAGCTTGCTCGGCTCGGTTGCAACGTGGACTTTTCCTGAACATCCCTCGCCTCCACACTCCAAGCACCTGTGCTCTATAGTCTCTATAGCCAGGACGCAGACCGAAAAATCGACCTTAACAATGTTGGAGGAAACACGGCAACAAGCAACACATACGGACGCTGAGCGAGGGTCCCGGTACTGTAAGGTGTGGAAAAGTTTGGGTTCTGGGTTGTTGTTTAATTCCGAATGCCCCAGTGTCGCGTGACCGCATCGTTCCACCAAAAGATGCT